ATTTCCTTTTCCCTTGATATATTCTCAAAGAGAATCGATCATCTTTTTTCTTTCTTATTCGTATTTGTAGATATAGAAAAAAGGGATAGAGAGAGGGAGAGAGAGAGAGAGAGAGAGAGAGAGAGAAATGTTGCGACGTCGTAAAGTGTCGTACGTTGGTTTATAAACTATTTATGCTAATGGTCCGTAGGAGGGCCGTACCGACTCATCGCTGACAGTAAAGTCGTAATTGCTTTTGCTCGAATGCAATTACGGCGCTTTAACGATGACGCGACGCACTTAATTGCATTTATACTCGCGCGGGATATCTACGTAATGAAGAAGACAATGCCGAGGGACCCGTAGCCTCTGTCCGCGTTTCGATCGCCTTTTCTCCGCATTCTTCCTTCCCACCCCCATTTCCTTCCTTCCTCCTTTTACTCTTTTTCCTTTCCCTTGCCGCTTTCATCGGCGACATTCTCCAAAATCTTTAAGAGAAAGAAATTACCCCAACGAACAATTACTACAATCAAGTTCTTTCTTTTTGTTTTTTTTTTCTTCAAAATAAATTGGTTAGCCCTTATAGTACCGTACAACAATATACCGTTGCGATATTACACAAAATAAATCGCTAATAATTTAAACATTATTAATGTACATCCAATCGAACAAGATTATCGGTTAACGCTAAAAAAAAATTAAAAGTTCAATTCCCAGACACATCCTTCGTCCGATTAATTAGTTGTTCGATCTCCCTATCGTTATCGTGATCGTTATCGAATTCGAAAAGTCGACAAATCGAATGACTTCGCTTTAAAGAAATCGATACTTTTCCTTGGAGAGCAATTTGAAGACACCAGTCGTTGATTAGCTTTCTACCACATCGGGAAACCTCACTAACGACTTGCTCATACATAAGTTTACTGCCCTTACGTTGGATCTTACTTAAAGTAATAAAGTAGAACTCGAGATGAGAGTTAGCAATCCGGACGGCCCAGCGGCTCGTAAATTTCTAATACCGCACGCTTCCCCTCTTTCGACCTTTCTTCCCCCTTTCCCGTTCCACAATCCTCTATCCGCCATCCCTCATACCATCCCTTTGCAACCTTTTCCTTCCCCACTCGTTCTACTTCAATACTGGACGACGGAGAACACGTTTTCAACCCTATTCGCTTCTTCTCGACCCTTCTGCCACCCCTCCCCCTATCTCTTTCTTTCTCTCTTTCACTCGCCAACCGACGACAAGGGTCCGTTCGAATAACAAGGATTACTGTGGGATTGTTCCGCATATCCGGACACCCAATCCTCACCTTTCTTTCTTTCTTTCTTTCTTTCTTTCTTTCTTTCTTTTTTCTTTCTTTCTTTTTCCTTTCTTTTCTTCTTTTTTATCACGATTATTGTCATACGTTAATTATGTTTGTCGAAGATCGTATCTCGTGAACGACTCGTAAACAAGCGTGAAATCAAATTTTACGAGTAATAATTATTTGTAAATAAAAATAGAAAGAAAAGAAACAAACAAATAAAAATAGACTTGGACAGATAACAAAAAACATCCGAATTTAATTAAAAAACGATGATTAATTCATTGATATCTCAATGATTAGTTAAGCCCATTTCTTTCGCCCTGTTATCGTTTATCTACCATTGTGATAAGTCAACGATAAACTTTTACCGACCGTTAGGAAACTGCATTACCGATCATGACAATTTAATCAATAAAGAAACTATGTCCATTATTGCTTGTTTCAAAAACATAAATTTAAAAAATAGAGAAAAATAGGTTGAAAGAAAGAAAAATGAAAATGACTAATAATAATCTGGCAAACGATAGAAAATAATTTCAAGGAAGAGAATAACAAGACAAAGTTGATAACGGGATATATAAGTTATGCTCAACTTCCGTTCAGCCGACAAAATTTTAATGCGAGTATACATATAAGTTCTCTCTCTTTCTCTTTCTTTTTTATTTTCGTATATAGACACGCGTCGTATTCGTTATCTTATCTACAACACGTTTTACTACACAACGACGACGGATTGCTCGCTAGATATTTTTTACTCGTCTCTATAAAGATGAATAACGTATACATACATATATATATACACATGCAATTCGTTACGTGTATTATTATCAATTATCTTTCGCGCAAATAAAAATAACAATCAAAGAATTATCGAACATGGATTGAGCGAAAAGTAATTGCTTCGTTCGATTGATTTAAAAAGCTGAAAAAATAATTAAAGAAAAGAAAAAGAAATGAACAAATCTTTCTCGTATCTTGATTTAATTTGACTGCGATTCTGGAAGATATCTCTACCCTTCGTACGAGATAAACGATCGAATTAGGGTTCAAGTTCCCTCTACGAAATGAGATTACGTAATCCTATCGATTCGCGAATCCTATATTTCGTTCCGTAATTATTTATCGCGATTTCATTTGTTCTCCACGCATCCTGAAAAATACTTTCTTTTTTTCTGCCACAGAACAAAGCAATTAGTGTAATTGATTTTATTTCTCTTTTTCTTTGACCTCATATCTATCGTACTACATCTGTCTCTATTCTTTTCTCGCGCATATACACGTACATGTATATTTATATATATATATATCTTTCAACTAGGTTGCAAAGCACGCAACTTTGTGTGTCCGCTTTAGAACACGTTGTTTCTAACGGCATATCTATTGGCTTTGTAATACGAGGATTACATTTGCTGTTAAAAGTTCGTAGTTTCTTTCTCCTATATTTTTTATTTTTTTTTTTTTTAATATATAAATTTCACTTTTTAAGTCGTCAAATAAACCTACCACGTCAGTGTACATTTTGTATTTAAAATCCTAAACAATATTTATGATAAAAAGCAAATTTTTCAAATGACACTAAAACGATGTGGTGTACACTTTGTTCAAATCGTAATAAAAGTTTCTTTAATAGGGCACAAAAATACAAAATGATCAATTATATTTATGTTGTATAGACATAGAAGCATTCCGTTAGCTTTGCGTATTGCAAGTTAGGGGGAAGGGGGAATTGATGTCTTCCGAACGAAGTCGAGCGATGTAAACGAGGGAGTAAATCGCATTCATTATGCAAATCTATGATCGCGTTTATCCCGGATTTAGAAACTTGGCTACCACGTTATACACTACTTTAATCGTTTCTAACTTTACCACGGACTGTGTTTTATGTTAGACGAATGAAAATACAAGATTCCAAAATGTGCATGTGTGTATGCGCATGCTGTTGTCTTTTTGTTTATTTGTATTCTACATACATATATAGAGATTGAAAGTCGAGCGTGTATAAACAGAATAATATCGTCGACTTTTTAATGTCGTTTTTAACGAGCACGTTTATCCAATTAACTATTTCCGACGAAGCGGTAAAATCCGAGGATATTCACTAGCGTGAGATTCTCTTTCTCTTTCTCTCTTTCTCTCTCTATCTCCCTCTCTCTCTTTCTCTTTCCTCCATTCTTCGAAAGATTCGCTTTACGATCCCGGACACGAAAGAGAATGAAAGAGAAATAGAGAGAAGAGAGGAAGAAAATTTATTTGCCACCTCAACGAGCAAAGTCGAGTTGAGTCGAGTAAAGCCGAATCATCTGACCGAACCATCGCGCACCGTCGAATCTAGTAGAAATGTATTTTTCATTGCAACATACGGTTATGGACAATTATGTACCTAGAATGCGACATTATTCCTACGAATATATCGCATCGCGGTAGGGTAAACGAGAAAGGGTAAATCGGCAATTGCGGTCGTATTAATGCGGTCGACGCCGATACATACACCACCGCATCTATATATATAGTATGTGTATACATAATGTATATATAAACATATCCGTGTATATCCATACATATATGGACATGCTAACTGCCAATCTGGATACGCGTAATTAATTTCCCTCGATTAAAGAGCCGCCTTGCCGGTATATTATACACATATATGAATGCATATCAATGTATTATACGTCGATCAAAAAACTTTTCTCCCTAAATAAACGTGATATTTCACTTTTGACGAGAATAAACTTTTCACCGAAGATCTCTTTCAACTCTTTTATTCCGATATGACGTTCGACGTTGTAGAAATCTTAAAGTATGTAAACACTTGAGAAGAACTTTATCCTAAAGCGTATGTTTTATCACTCGACGAAGTTTATATCGACAATCCAATACAACCTATGTATGGTACTTGAGAATGCTGTGTTTATAGAGCTAAGCGAATACGGCAATCTTATGTACATTATAGTACATATTCTTACAAATAAAATACAAAACGAATGAGAAATCCTTTTAATGACGTTTTTGACCAGTCGAGACAAAAGAGACCAAGCAACCTTTTGTTTTTTATTCTCTACAGCTCGTTCTCTCATCAGGTAAAATATATAAAAGGGTAAAGAAAGTATAATATAGAGTCTTGCGATAATGTATAGAAAAGAGCTTACTCACCTTTATCGTAGATTTCGATGTGGAATTAATCGTAAAGTTTGGCAGCCAAATCGAAAGGATCATAACGTTTGTTTATCCTCACGTCCAATACACTGTCAAACGGTAGAACTATGTCCATTTTTTTCCATTTATCTATCAACTATAAACCATTGGCGCCATCTTGCCAATGATCCGTCAATCTTGCCTCTTTCAAATTGACCATAGCCGATATTATTCCTCTCCACTCGTTTTTTCCAACATTAATCTCACACACGTACGAAAGCACACAACACATAATAGTAATAAACAAACTTACAAGATTAAACACAATTTAAAACACTATTAGTCGGAAGATCATAGGTCACGAAGTCGAGTTTTTTTAACAAACATCCCCGGATTTTCGATAAACACGAATCCTCCGACGAAATCCTCACACGGTCTAAACTACGAGAAAGATGGCTGATCATCGACCAATCGCGTGCTTCTGTTCAGCGCGCTCCTTAAGTCCTATCTACACTTAACGTTAAATCAATGAAAACATATTATAGGATAGAAATCTTTTCAGTTTTTTCCTTATATTCATCGTTCTAATTAATGTTTATTGAATTAAATAATTATAAACATGTTTATCTTAATATTGTCTTTATATATTAATTAGGTCGGTTTTGACGATACAATCATGTGCCGGACTTAAGACTACTATTCGAGTCAAAATAAATCTCTTATTGCTACATTCTTGTTTAAAATTATTGTTTTTTTTATATAATTATAATCATTATCAAAAAATATTTTAATTAAATCGATAGAGATTTGTAATATAACAAATATTATTAATTTTATATCATGTATTTATGGAAATGTGTTGACTAGACAGCAGTCAAAATCCGGCGATCGTCACAAGCTGAGGCGTTAGTATTTCGTGGCTTTTTTATGTCGGAGTTTTCGTTTAATGAAGACGTGAATGTAAGTTTTAAGGTTAAATATTCGATATTGTAACTTTTGTATTCATCGGTAAGAAGTGATACTGTGTGTGTGAAAGATTGAAAATATTTAAAAATTTCAAGTATCCGTATGTTTCATGAATATTATTTTATATCGTTCAATAAATAATCTAACACTGGTCAAAACCACATGGTAACATGTTTTTCTCGTTGGCTCCTACAAAATTCACTTAAGAATTCATCAACGTTTTATTCTTAATTATTTCATTGAAAAATTTCATTTTTACGAACCTAATTAGACAACTAGAATAACTATTATATTTCTTGAAAAAATTTTTTTAATCTTACGAATGACTTTTGTATATTAACAGATATCAACTGAAATGCATTCATTATTTTGAAGAATATGACTAAGCGTCCAACAACAAATAAATGAAATACAATATTTCTTTTATATTCGATTCGTCTTTGCATTTATATTGCTACTAATTTTCATTGTTTACTTTACTCCATCTAATTTATATTATTAACAACTCTATATATTGTAAGTTACTATTGCTTATCTTTTCTTCTTTTAGATTCACAATGCCGGATATAGAATCCTTCGATGATATAGTGGTAACTACTACCTCCACTATACCGGTAGCACTTTCTGCCGAGTTACCAGAAATCAAATTGTTTGGTCGCTGGAATTGTGATGATGTACAAGTCAATGATATGTCTTTGCAAGATTACATTGCTGTAAAAGAAAAAAATGCTAAATATCTACCGCACTCTGCTGGCCGTTATGCTGCTAAACGTTTTAGGAAAGCTCAATGTCCTATCGTAGAGCGCTTAACAAATTCCTTGATGATGCATGGAAGAAACAATGGCAAGAAATTAATGGCTGTTAGAATTGTCAAACACGCATTTGAAATTATTCACCTTCTTACTGGTGATAATCCTTTGCAGGTACATAGCACTGATATTTTTACTTCTTCTTCAATTTCCTTATATGTTTGTCATAGTAGTTACTTGTTCATATATTAATATGCATTTTATGAAGATTCTTATGATATATATGATTTTGTAGGTTCTTGTCACAGCCATTATTAATTCGGGACCAAGAGAAGACTCAACCCGTATTGGTCGTGCTGGTACAGTAAGGAGACAAGCTGTAGATGTTTCTCCATTACGTCGTGTTAATCAAGCTATTTGGTTATTGTGCACTGGTGCAAGAGAAGCAGCATTCCGCAACATAAAAACAATCGCTGAATGTTTAGCTGATGAACTTATCAATGCTGCAAAAGGATCATCAAATTCGTATGCGATAAAAAAGAAGGATGAACTAGAACGTGTCGCAAAATCTAATCGATAAGAACCATTCATTTGTTAAGCATTTACATAAATCTTATGTTTACCAAAATGTTTATTCTCATTAAATGCCACTTTATGTATATAGTACACTTAAAGTAGGTTATTGCTCTTTCTGTCTCTCCTTTTTTTCCTTTTTTAGAACATTTTAACATGTTTAATATTTTCAGACATTGATAACTGAAAGTAATCTTTGAATGAAGTATTACAAAACGTCCATTAACGGAAAGATAAACAAATTATGCATAGCATTTTAAACTTTCAAAAACTAATACTTTAATTTCTTATAATAAAATTGCGAATTTATCGTAGTTTTTGATGTAAAATCGTAATGCTTGGCAGCCAAATCGAAATGGTCATAATTAATAAACAAACTTACAAGATTAAACACAACTTTACGCACTATTAGTCGAAAGATCAAACGTCACGACGTCAAGTTTTCCTCATCGATATTCCTGGATTTTGAATAAACACGAATCTTCCAACGAAATCCTCAGACAGTCTAAATCTGCGAGAAAGATAGCCGACCGTCGACCAATCGCGTGCCTCTGTTGAGCGCGTAGTTCGATTTAAACTTAACGTTAAATAAAAGAAAACTAGTTATAAGATAAAAATCTTCTCAGTTTTTTCCTTATATGCATAATTCTAATTAATGTTTATTGCATTAAATATTTATCAACACGTTTATCTTAATATTGTTTTATCTATTAATTAAGTCGGTTTTGACGATACAGTCGTGTGGCGGACTTAAGAGTACTATTCGAGTCAAAACAAATCCCTTATTGCGACATTCTTGTTTAAGATTATATTTCATTTTTATATAATTATAATAATTATTAAAAATATTTTAATTAAATCGATAGAGAGATTTATATTGTAAGAAATATTTTTAATTTTATATCTTGTATTTGTGGAAATGTGTTGACTAGCAATAGTCAAAATCCGGCAATCGTCACAAGCTGTGGCGCTGAGTACCTCATGGCCTTTCCTGTTTGTGCTCTGGTTCAACGAATACACGAGCGTAAGTTTTAGGATTAAATATTCAATATTGTAAGTTTTTTTATTCATCTGTGAACAACGATACTACTAGTACGAAATGTTAAAAATATTTTTAAATTTCAAGCATCTGTATATTTCGTGAATATTGTTTTATATCGTTCAATAAACTAATTAACACTAGTCTAGACCACATGGTAACATGTTTTTCTCATTGTCTCCTACAACATTCTCTTAATATTCATCTCAAAGCCTTAATCTAAATTATTTGATTAAAAAAATTTATTTTTTCGAACATAATTAGCGGACCAGAATAATTATTATATATCTTGAAAATACATTTCGACACTAATAGATATGAATTAGATTGAATTTATTATTTAGTTATTTTTTTAGTTTACTCCATCGAATTTATGTTATTAACAATTCTATATAATGTAAGTTACTATTGCTCATCTTTTCTTCTTTTAGATTCACAATGCCGGATATAGAATCCTTCGATGATATAGTGGTAACTACTACCTCCACTATACCGGTAGCACTTTCTGCCGAGTTACCAGAAATCAAATTGTTTGGTCGCTGGAATTGTGATGATGTACAAGTCAATGATATGTCTTTGCAAGATTACATTGCTGTAAAAGAAAAAAATGCTAAATATCTACCGCACTCTGCTGGCCGTTATGCTGCTAAACGTTTTAGGAAAGCTCAATGTCCTATCGTAGAGCGCTTAACAAATTCCTTGATGATGCATGGAAGAAACAATGGCAAGAAATTAATGGCTGTTAGAATTGTCAAACACGCATTTGAAATTATTCACCTTCTTACTGGTGATAATCCTTTGCAGGTACATAGCACTGATATTTTTACTTCTTCTTCAATTTCCTTATATGTTTGTCATAGTAGTTACTTGTTCATATATTAATATGCATTTTATGAAGATTCTTATGATATATATGATTTTGTAGGTTCTTGTCACAGCCATTATTAATTCGGGACCAAGAGAAGACTCAACCCGTATTGGTCGTGCTGGTACAGTAAGGAGACAAGCTGTAGATGTTTCTCCATTACGTCGTGTTAATCAAGCTATTTGGTTATTGTGCACTGGTGCAAGAGAAGCAGCATTCCGCAACATAAAAACAATCGCTGAATGTTTAGCTGATGAACTTATCAATGCTGCAAAAGGATCATCAAATTCGTATGCGATAAAAAAGAAGGATGAACTAGAACGTGTCGCAAAATCTAATCGATAAGAACCATATATTTATTAAACATTTAAATAAAAATCTTGAATTAATGAAATGTTGTCGGTCATTGATGATTAAAAGCAGTCTTTGCATTCAAGCCACTTTAGTCTCTAGTGACATATAAAACTAATTTCGTACATATATATTAAGACTTGATTGATTGAAGATTAAACCATTTTTAATAACTGATTATTTACATACCAAAATTTGAGGCCTCTTCTTTCTTAGCTGATCCGTTATTTTACTCTAATCATTTTTATCTTGCGCTGATATTTTGTTAACATTCAAGTATTACAAAACATCCAATAAGGGAAAGATAAACAGATTATGTATACCATCTTAAACGTTAAAAAATTAATATTTTAATTTTACGTAATATGAAAGTGCGAATTTTTATAGTTTATTTGGATTTTAGAAATCTCTCTTTACTATTATGTTAAATGTAGGAAAATTAGGTTACATTTTGCTTGACAGTTATCTCCGCTGCGTGGCGCCACTGCTCTATCAATTTCTATCTTCAGAATTTGACCTGTAGTTTCTACATAACCTGTAACGCGAAAGCAGTGTTAGATCTTATAAATATAATTAGTCGTAATAAAAATTATAATATAGACAATGGCTGATGCAGTTAGGAAGGTAAATTTTAAGTCAAATTTAGAATGTATTCTTTTGTAATATTTCTTACTTTACAAATGTTACGTCAGTATCTTTAATTACGTATACAATATCTCATATGTATATATGTCATATATATATATATATATGATTTTATTTGCACGAATATGTATGCATAATAAAATAAACCTATATATACGTAATTAAGCAAATTTGTACTTTTTTCAGTTTACACTAACGGGTTTGAAAATGATTCACAATCCTTATGCTATTTTGGATGTTATTGATCATAAAATATTAAACGGATTGAAAACCTTACCAGAAAATTATATTTATCGACAGTGTACGGAGCGAATAGTCAAAGAACGAATGGATATTTTAAAAAATGTAATTTGTTACTTTTCTTACACTTTAATGATAAATTATTTATTTTTATTAGAGAATTATAGAAAGTTACATATTATTACATCTATGCGAATGTAACAATGAAACAGCTGTATATATATGAAATGCTTTATAATATGTTATCATTTTGATTTGTATTATATCATTTGTTATAGAACAAAGATAAAGATGTAGCAGCTGAAAAATTAGGAGTCAAATACATCGAAGAAGTTATCGAGCAAGCCAAATTAGAATTATCATTGGTAAAAAGAATGAAAGTATGGAAACCATGGGAAAGTTTAATTGAAGAAGCTCCAGCTGATCAATGGAAGTGGCCACCGCATAAGTAAATTTATTGAATTTACAGGCAACTGTATACAGAATAATAATTTATATATAATATAGATATAATATAATATATATATATATATATATTATATATGTGCGTGTACACTCAAAGTAGTACGTGTAGTAATGTATTCTTAATTATAGGCGCTACAATTTTCCCAATTATTTTGTCTCTTCGATTTGCCAATGTGTAATTAATTCGATTCGATAGATTAAGTCAAAGTTTGAAATGAGGCAGTCTTAGGACAAAATTCTTATAAGTTTGTATTTTGTCAATTAGAATTTTCATTCGAAGCTGTTGTTTTAGTTTTCGATTCTTTGTAGACTGCAATTAACGACCCAAACGAGTTTTGATTCTACAGGACGATGTAAACTTCGATAAGAATTTTTTACTCTAATTAATGTTAAATTTTTCGAATCGCCGATGTTACATTTTGTGATAGAGAGTAAGGGAAGACTAACGTTCATCAGTTCCTTATCTAATTGCAATTTTTGTCTCTTATAATACGACTTTACGATGGATTCGTCCGTACCTTCGTACATTTTTTAATTAAGGAAGTAATGTAATAAGAATAGATTTGATTGTGAATACTATAAGTTAGGAGGTACTTACTTGTTAGTATAATTTACGAAGTTTGACTGGTTTTATATCCTGTATCATCTTCCGTTTGGAAAGTGGTACACGCTTGGCTCGTAGATTGATTGCGATTGTCGCGGTTCGCATATGGATAACATTCCTACGAATGCTTAAGCTAAGGTTCGCGAATATAAATCACAAAAACAAATTCTTCATTCGCAGACAAGTTGAAGCTAAAGTGTGTTATTCGATGAAAGCGGATTTATTAAGTTGGTTGAAAAATTACGGTTAGAAGTACTTTCAAAAAATGTTTAAACGTAGACCTACTTACCGATAAAGACGCGTTTGTTTTCGTAATTTTGGATTATTTTACGAATAAGTAATTAGTAATATTTCTTATAGGATTAAAGTTTTTTTTTTTATTAAATGATATCAA